GAGATATAGTACTGGCAAGGGGCATTGATTGCTTCCCAGTAAGGAAGGATTAACCCCACTCCACACAAAATCAAAAACTCTACCCTGCTTAGCTTCGACTGCGACTATTCAGACCGCTTGGCACAGTAAGAAGTAGTAGGGGGGGAGAATAGCAGGACAAAGAGGGTCTGCGTTGACCAAATTCCAAGTCTAACCCTAGGTAGTTTAATCCGAAGTCAGAACCCGCAGTTGGGCATTGATTTGCTTCCCTACCAGGGAAGGATTGCCCGGGCTGCATGCCAGAATCGAACTCTGCCCTAAAAGTCTTGATAGAATGGGACGCGGGACCCCGTTTCCAGCTGGCTTATGATGTAGATTCAGTTGGTTTGCTCAGAGCTGAGCTCATAAGCTAAACTGGCTGATGTTGCCAGGATAATTCCGGGTAGAATTGTGAGGTCCCCGGCCTCGTCCCAAGACTTTTCTTTGTAATGAATGGTGAAGCTTTCCGGAAAAAAAAAAAAAAAAAAAAAAAAAAGGCACCCAAGTGGCATTCAGGAGGTCTTGGGTTCGATCCCCATTGGCCTCATGTACCTTCCTGGGCAAGCTTGGTGCCGGCCACCTAGAGATATGTCGTTGGTCCCGCCGAGTGGCGTTGAGCAGAGACTGCGGATGTTCATAGGGGGAGGGGACTGGAGGGGAGGCACAGTGATTGGCCCATCGAAGAAGCTCAGTCCTGATGCTACCGGCTGACCCCTGGCTGGTATCGCCCACCTGCTGTCGCAGGTGTTGCACCTGCTGGTGGGTGCAGCTCCTGCATGTTCCCTCGTTGGAGGCTTGAGCACGGATGTGGCTGCTAAGGGGTTCCCCATAATACTATAATAACAATAAGAAAGGCCTGAAAGGCCGTCCTGTCCAGATTCGACAGGTAATTGAATTGGTTAGCCTTTTATTATAAAAAATAAATAAATCTCAAGGCCGTCACCCTTCAAAAACAAAACAAAACAAAACAAAAAAAAACTCATCAGATGTCAAGACCACCGAGACAAAACTCTTGCTCTGGCACCACAGCTGTGCTGCCAACCTACCCCATGGGCTGGGGAGAGATCCGGGTTGGTTGGTGTTCCCCCGCACGATACATACATAGGGGCTCGCTGCACTACTCTAGACTCGCAAAAAAATTCTAGAGTCATTCTAGAGCTGTCAGAGTCACGAAAAGTCCTAAATCTACGCATCGCTGCACTAGCTCTAGACTCTAGAAAGCTAGAGTTGCTCTGTCACTTTCTGAGTTCGGCCATTTCACTACAGGACACCGCCAGCCTGGGTTGTCCATCCAGACTCAAGGCCCACTCAAGGAAGTCCATCCAGACTCAAGGCCCACTCAAGGAAAACCAAGGCGTTTCAAGGGTCCTCCGGACCTCCCTAAAAAAAATGGCCTCTGCAGGCTGGTGCTCTAAATCAATCTAGAGTGAGAAGGACTGACCCACTCTGACAGCTCAAGAAATGAAAAATCTAGAGCCAACGACTCTATTACTTTTCTAGAGTTGTTATGACAGCTCTAGAACAGGTTTTCGAACGCCCATTTCTTGAGTAAGTGCAGCCATGCGGCACCCAAGAAAAAGCTCGAATCGAGAGTAGTGCAGCGAGCCCCATAGACTAGTGAGAGGATGAGATAGATGAGTACTGGCAAGAACATGAGATAGATGAGAGAAGAGTATAGCTTACTGTATGAATCTTTCCGTGTGTTATGTGTGGATACAGCGTACATGTAACGCCCTTGGACACACTGTGGCGAGGCCAGCTGTCTCACGGATGTCAAGTAGAAGGGCCTCGTCCTCTGGACCTGCACATGCACAAATGACAAAACTCATGGCAGTGTATCTCTCTATGTTCTACCGAAAGATTCACTCTCACTTTAAAAAAAAAAGAAAAAAGAAAAGAAAAGGTCGATTATATTCCAAAAGAAAGAATTGAGGCCAGGGACCTCACAGTTCAACCCGGAGTTATCCCGGCAGCGTCAGCCGGTTTAGCTTACAGTCGTACGACTGAGCAGGAACCTGCAAGAGCCTCCTCCAAGTGGTAATGTCTGATGATGTCAAGCTGTGTAGGACACTAGCTTGAAACTGTAGTTGATTCTTCCTAGAATTGTACGTTATCTAAACCTGTTGTAACTAATATTTCACTGCCACTAAAGTAATGCTCCTCTACTTAGCCTATCCTAGCCTAACCACTAATCCTACTTAAGTAACTGAAAGTTCTACCTTGACTTACACAGGCCTAAAACGGCCTGAACTCGACTTAATACAGCCGTGACGAGTCATTGCAGGCTCCACCTCTATGTCCTGGACACTCTCCTACCCTCCCTACCCTAGGTAGCCCACTGCGGCTAGCTACTTGAACCGAGTGCCCTGGTTCACCCGAAAGGTTAGAAATGGGTTTGGGAAGGGGAACTGATAGACGTTGAGAGGGGTGGGGGGGTTAGACGGAGGTTGAGTTTGAGGAGAGGGGGAGGGGGGGGGGTGAAGGCGCTGTTGGGCGTTGGCTTCAGTTCTGTGGAGTTGAGGTGGGTAGAGTGAGTAGAAGGGAGGGGAGGGAGGGAGAGAGAGGGACGGGGAGGGCGGACTGAGATGGTGTAAAGTCACTTGAGAAGCCAGGGGCAGATAGCAAGATTGCCGTCGTGAGTAACCGCCGCCAGTTGGTTGTCTCTAGCCCAGGTTACCAAGAACCAGTGTCTGCCTCTGATGGATTTCCCCTTCGCGGCTTTCCTGTGCCAGTCGACCCGGATCATGGCTCGGATCCATGCTTTAATCTTGGCAATTAGGGTAGCATCTGCTGTCCACTGCAGGTTCAAAAGAAACTTCAGTCTGTGTTCAGGTATAAGGGGGGCTGCAGGATATGGCTGTTCAAATTCTTTAGGGGTGCTCGGATCTGGGTTGGGAATACTAGCAGCTCCAAGGGACAACGGGGACCGGGAGGGACAAGGGAACAAGTACAGCCTA